TTTTGCCTGTATTTAAACAGCAAGAGTATGGTGTTTGCTAGGAGTATGTAATTCCCCAAGAGCTCCAGGATGCAACCACGATGAGTGAAGATGCTGAAGTTCCGAATCGGCGCTCTTTGGGATGAAGGTTTTTTCTAGCGTGGCTGTTCTGAGCGTGGCTGGGAAGGTAGGTAAAGGAAGATGGTAGAACTGGTTTCTGTCGAAACTAATAACCTCTGTACTTCCTTCCAAACTCCCTGCAGACCGTTTAACCTACCCAAGACTTGACCTACCTACATTTCACCAGCACAGCTATGTAATGAATTCAATTGCCCATTTGGGATGAAGGTTTTTTCTAGCGTGGCTGTTCTGAGCGTGGCTGGGAAGGTAGGTAAAGGAAGATGGTAGAACTGGTTTCTGTCGAAACTAATAACCTCTGTACTTCCTTCCAAACTCCCTGCAGACCGTTTAACCTACCCAAGACTTGACCTACCTACATTTCACCAGCACAGCTATGTAATGAATTCAATTGCCCATTAATTTGTCCTGTGGTTTGACAGTAATGAGTAGCTGCCACAATTTGTTTCATATCAGCATTTAAAAACCATAATTTGGTTAGCAATGTATTGCCTCTGAGGTCTTCTTTGTTCTAGTTCTTAACCATTCCCCCTGCTTTCCAAAATACTTCAAATTACTTTCAATGACCTCCTTCATTTCACTGCCTGGAAAATCTGACAACTCACTGGAATATTTGCCCTGAGAAAGAGATCCCTCGTACATCAGCTTTGGGTCCTCTGCCCTAGTTTAGAAGGGAAGGCATGTTCACTTGCTGTTCTTTTTGTCCCTCAAAATCCGTCTCTTTTGACTACTAATCATCAGCATTAAATGTTCCTTGCTGATGCTTTCTACAGAACACCAGAGTAAAAATAACACATCTGGAATAACCGGGTAATTCTGTCAGAGAAGATAAAACTTCTTGCTCTCCCCATACTCTTCCCTCCAGTTCCATCACAACATCACAGACATTTTAGCTCAAGGTGAACATACAGTAGTGTCACACATGGCTTTTCCAGGGGAGCAGAAAATTTTTTTTTCCTATCAGAAAAACTAGTAAAAGTCAAAGGTACCAAAAGCAGGTCATGATCAGATGCACACGAACTGCACGGACATCAGCCAGACCTTCGCCATCTAAAAATCCACTTCTGCGTGCACAGGACAAGCTGCTAAACCCAAGATTATTCGCTTTGGATCTATCAGACAGCATTTAAATGCTTACCACAAATATGAATTACACTGCTTTTTTTCCCTTGTTTAAAAAACACAGATCACTTCGTACACAATCTATGAATAATTTATTACAAGAGAAATATTAGCACAGTTTCACTAAAGATTGAAATTATTCCAAATACCTAAATATAAACTTTTTCAAAAATAATGTCCCTTACAGCAAATGTTGTTTATACAAAAGGAGAATCAATAATTTACTACTTTACATGACAGACTTCATGTACACCATGAAAATATGCATTAACTTTGGTTTTCTGACATTGTAAGAAAATAACATTATTTTCCTAGTAGATGTCATTTATGTATAAAAGCAGATATGCAGGTCCAGTAGAAAATAGAGAATTTTTGCTTGGTACAGGTTAGTTTACATAATTTACAGCTCAATTATGAGCCTTCGTTCACGGAATAATTCGCTATCCACCCAAAGCATCCACTTTTACGACACTCTGTGCACGTTAGAGAATACACACCCTGCTTCGTGAGGAGGTTCTGCTTGGCATACAGATCTTAGCTGATTAAAATCGGTTTTTAATTGCTGAAATGCCAGTATCCTCGGGCAAAGGTTCTGGACTCCCACCTCCAACCCCCAGAACTGGAAATATGACTTTTCCGCTGAGCTCCTCACGACCCACACATCCGGCTGCCGAAGCCACCTTCTTGCTGACGAAGTGGCAACAAAGGGGACTGTGGTGAGTAACTCCTGGCCTGAGCAAGCTGGTTTGGGGAGATAAAGATCCGCGACCACAACCGAGGAGCACGC